GCTGAGCCGCTGCTGAGGGGTGAAGCGGGTACACTCGGGTGGGTGTCCCCGGGGACACTCGGCGTATGGGACTCGGTGGGCCCGGAGATTTGTGTCAGTCACCGTAGGGCGCTTTGTAATGCTGTGTGATGTGGGCAAGTCTACCGGGCTGTCAGCCGTCTGCCGCGGGGCAGCAACTAAAGAAGGGTTTGGTTTCAGTGGGATTTTGCCTCAAGGAGCCACTGCTGCAGTTTGTAGAGCACCGAGCCAGGGAAGGAACGTGCTGGTTGCTCATGCTGCAGGCCTAGACTCCTGTAATGCTGGTGTCTGCGGTGCCCTTGTGCTTCTCCCTCTGGGTTGCCTTGTAAAACACAAGCTGCATAGGCAGATCTGATGTTGGTGTGACTGTGGCAGGTGTCTGTGGTGGTGTCTGGGCTTTTTGGGATTGCAGAAGCCATTTCTATACACCTTACATTTTTAAATTTCTCCTTCCCCTCTTGTTCTTCAAGGTGAACTTCACAGGAGACCACATCTGGGCCATCATGGACAAAAAGGCCAACATCAGAAACATATCTGTGATTGCCCACGTTGATCACGGCAAATCAACTTTGACTGATTCTTTGGTATGCAAAGCTGGTATCATCGCCTCTGCCCAGTTGGGGGAGACTGGTTTTGCTGACACAAGGAAGGATGAGCAGGAGCGGTGCATTACCATCAAATCAACGTGAGTTCCCTCCCTCTGGGCACCTTGGTGCTTCTGCTGCGTGGTCTGAGCTCAGGAAGGTTTTGAGTCCTCCACTGATTTGATCATGAGATGAAAGATGACAGCATCAGGCTCTCTCTGGTCTAGTTCAGGAGCTCATCTCTTGATTGTGAGGATTGCATGAAAGAAGGAACAGGCATTGATTGGCTTGTGGTGAGTCACAGAGTGCTGCCTCAGTGGCCGCTGGGAAATAGATGTGCAGCGTCCAGTTTAGCACTGGGGCTGTTGGATGTGGCAGACGCCTGCAGGAGTCCTGTGGATGTTGTGCAGAGAGTGTCTCGCGAGTGTCTCTGTCAGCTCTCACCATGGATGGTTTGAGGACATGGAGAGGCATAAAAAGGGATCAAAAAGGAGGGTGAGGCTAGTAGAAAAAGTGTAAATCCTTGTTTGACAGAAATGCAATGCTCTTTGGGTGCTTTAAATGGCGTGGAGTTGGAGCAGGTTGTGATTTCAGGAGAGGTTACAACTTCAGAGGAGCGTAGGAAGGGCACACTTTAGTCTACGTTCCTGGTTAGCTACCACACTGGCCTCCAGGAGTATACTTCATGAAATCCTTAAGCCCAGGCACAGCTGCATGGGATAAAAAGCTGTTTCTAAGCACTGAGGAGGGGTAAATTGTAGATAATAATTTTAATAGTTTTTACTTTTTATTTCAGAGCTATTTTTTAAACTCTCAGAAAATGATCTCACCTTCATCAAGCAGAGCAAGGAGGGTTCTTGAGTCCTAGGCAAGGAAGATGACGTGCAAAATGCCTCCTTCATGTCCCAAATGGGCTCTTGTGCCTCCTGCTCTAGGACCTGCTTCCAAGGAATGCTGTAAGTCAAGGGACTGGAGCTTTCTGGAAGGAAATGCTGACCTGGTGATGGTGAACCCTGGTCCTGTGTGAGGAGAACATGCGTGGTGTGCGTTTTGATGTGCACGATGTCACCTTGCACGCTGATGCCATCCACCGTGGAGGTGGGCAGATCATTCCAACTGCCAGGAGATGCCTGTACGCCTGTGTGCTCACCGCTCAGCCCAGGCTCATGGAGCCCATCTACCTTGTGGAGATCCAGGTGAGGAACATCTGCTCAGCTCAGAAGATCCCATGTGAAGGAGACTTAAGTGAGCGGTTTGTGGTCCTGACACCTCTCTCTTGCAGTGCCCAGAGCAGGTGGTGGGTGGCATCTACGGTGTGCTGAACAGGAAACGTGGCCACGTGTTTGAGGAGACCCAGGTGGCTGGCACCCCCATGTTCGTGGTCAAGGCGTACCTGCCCGTCAACGAGTCCTTTGGTGAGTGCTGGGCCTGGGGTGCAGCAGCTCCCAGGAGCTTGGTATGAAAAGACCTTTAAGATCGAGTCCAGCCCTTAACCTGGCACTGCCAACTCCACCACTGACCCATATCTCTGACACCTACACATCCTTTAAATTCCTCCAGGGATGGTATCTGCACCACTTGCCTGGGCAGCCCTTTCCAATGCTTGACAACCCTTTTGGTGAAGAAATTCTTCATACATCTAATGCCCAATCTGAACCTCCCCTGGTGCAACTTCAGAATATTTCCTCTTGTCTCATCGCTTTTTAGTTGGGAAAAGAGACCAACATCACAGAATTATTTGGATTGGACGAGACCTTTAGAGGCCATCTGATCCAACCCCCTGCCATGAGCAGGGACATCTTCAACCAGATCAGGTTGCTCAGAGCCCTGTCCAACCTGACCTTGAATGTTGGCGGGGATGGGGCATCCACTGCCTCTCTGGGCAACCTGTGCCAGTGTTTCATCACACTCAGTGTGATAAAGTTCTCCCTTGTATCTGATCAGAATCTCCCCTCAGTTTAAATCCATTTCCCCTTGTCCCATCACTACAGGCCCTACTAAAGTTTGTCCCCATTTTAGAAGCCCCTTTGAGAGGCTGCAGTGAGGTCTCTCTGGAGCTTTCTCCAACCCCAACTCTTGGCCATTCCCCACAGCAGTGTTGGGCTGTGGTTGGCATCACTGTAGGCTTTTGGGCACTGTGTTGGGTTCCTTCACTCTAGATGTGCCAGTGGTGACCTGGAGCCCTGGCTCTGCTAGAGGTGATGCTGAACTCTGCGTGTTCCTGCTTCCTCCTCACCGGTGTCTTCCTTGTCACAGGTTTCACACTGAATTTGAGGCCCAACTCAGGGGGGCCAGGTCTTCCCCCAGTGTGTCTTTGACCACTGGCAGATCCTGCTGGGGAATCCCTTTTGACAGCGCCAGCTGCCCCTGCACTGTGGTGAATGAGACCTGCAAACACAAAGAACTGAAGGAAGGCATCCCTGCTCTCGACAACTTCCTTGACAAACTCTGATTAAAATCATATTTGGGAGTGGAGGGCAATTAATTATTTAGCGTTAATGCTTATGACCATCTGTTTGCATTGTTAATTAATCTGGACCTATTGGAGACTTTAAAGGGGGGAAAAAAAAGCTGCCTAGGTTTGTGTTTTGCATGACTCCTCTTTGCTGTTTTGTGATGGATGCTGGGGATGTTTATAATAAATTGGTTATAATAAGAACTGACTGACTTACAGATTATAGAATGACAAGATTTGGGGGAACTTACTCCAAGGTATCTTAAATAAATATATATATAGGTACTTTCAAAATATAAAGACAGACATGCACACTTGTAAAATGTGTATATTCAAACATGTAAATAGGTGGAGGGGTGGATGTAAGAGACCAATCTCTAGGTAAAGTTTCCCTCTTCTTGAGTTTAAAGCAAACATTCCCCCTGTGTTGGTGTTCCTTGGTGTGTGATAATTGAGCCTGGAGAAGGACTGACTTTGCCCTTGCCCTTTGTGACGCTTGGTGGATGACCTTGAGGAGTTAGTACCCAAGAGGTGTCCCAGCTTGGGAGATGCTGGCCGTGTTCTCGTTTGTGCCCAGTGACAGGACAAGGGGCAGTGGTCATAAGCTGGAACACCAGAGGTTCAACCTAAACGTAAGGAAAAACTTTCCTGGGAGGGTACCAGAGCCCTGGACCAGGCTGCCCAGAGAGGCTGTGGGGTCTCTTCTGGAGACATTCACACCCTGCCTGGATGTGTTCCTGGGTGATGTCTGGATGACCCTGCTCTAGCAGGGGGTTGGACTGGAGGATCATTCAGAGGTCCCTTCCATCCCTAGCCAGACCGATTCTGAAGCAGGGGTTTGGACTGGAGGATCATTCAGAGGTCCCTTCCATCCCTAGCCAGACCGATTCTGAAGAGTCTCCCCTTGGGTCAGTGTTTACTGGGTCTGAGGCGATTGACTTTTCTCAGAACTGTTGTGGCTGCAGCTCCTGTCAGGTGCTCTGGGCAGCTTTCAGCCTGTGACCAAGTCCTTGTGCCCATCGCCGCCTGTGTTAGTGCCACTGCAATTAATAAAAATCGGATCCTGGTGATTAAGGGTGTGCTTTCCCAGGCAGAGATGCCGCGCCCCCTGGCGGGCAGGAGGACCGTGTGCTGCGGGTGGGCGGAGCAACCCCAGCGAGCCCGCCCTTGGTACCGCCCCCGTCGCGCGGAAGGGGGCGGAGCCAGGGATGGGCGGGATC